TGCGATCCAATGTGGTTGTAGCCTCGAACAGCCAATTGATCTTGATCCAACTATAGGCTACCGCTTATTAAGACAGTCTAGAGGTGAAACGAGGTCAGTCGTGTACGTCAATCATGTGCTACATCTGACGACTCGCATCCAAGCCACCGCGGACTAATACGAGCCTTTTTCCAAGAAATGCGTGCAACTCGGATCATAGCGCGTGGGTGGCGAGCATAATATCGTTCTGACCGACGTGCAACGCGTTGAACGGTCTCGTTTGAAGGAGATGTATTTGCGGAACCGTGTTTACGCATGTTCTTTTATCTTCGATGCATGATCGAATATTTAGGGAACGTCTTTTATGTGGCAGCATAATGGTTACTTTGCATTCCGCAAAATGGAAGGTTTACCTTTGGAATCGGTCGGAAAGTAGCGAGTTTCGAAATTGTCTATTTTGTGAAGACGTACAATGACGTAAAATGGTGTTTTTGAAGCTTTAAGTGTCAGGTTTCGGGTAGTTTTGGGTGATTTTCCTGCCGATGGAAAGCTAAACAGTTGCTACGTCAGACAAACCGTTTGAAATTCTTCAAATGTGAGGTCACGCAATTGGCAAATTCGTATGCTATTACTATGTATGATCTCAAATTTAGGGATGATAAAAGATTTGACAGAATCCGATCAGCCTTGAGTGATACTACCACTTGGAAAAACATCTAGAATATCACAAAAAAATATTTAATAGCTGAGACTTCAAGCTCCAAAACATGTCACATTGACATTCTTTCCTCCCTTCTTTTTCCTCAAAGCGTTTCTTCAACCTCATCGCAGAAAGTATCTCGATAAAACGTTTTATTCTCTTACGCTCCGGTCCCTCTGCTACAAATAACGTCGGAGGAGGAATTCACGAGCCAATTAACGCGTCGAACTCGTCGCGACGAAAAGCGAAAACGACCGCGCAATGAGAATCGGCTGCGACGCCGCGGGTGGTCGCGTAATTCCTCGCGAGAAGGATCGCGCGTAAATTCGTGCCGCGTTTTTCCATCTCGGTAACGATTTATGGCAGACTGCGCGAGCTGTTCGAGCTACTTGAATTTCCGTCGAGACTTTTAATCGTGCCCAAGGCACCCGAGAAATACACCTACAAGTGAAAATGCATTCCTGTGCACTCGGGTAGATACAGAAGCGAAGAGTAATCGCCGCAGCAATTGCTACGATTAGATTACCGGATCGAATAGGATCTCCGATCGGAATCAGCGATTTTTTCAACGGGCGTGCTACTCGTAGATGCTATCGGGGGAAAAGTAAATCACGCCATTTCTCGCGTATCGCTGATTATGGTCTCTTTGCGTACTGGATACTTCAACGGCAGCTCGTGCGCACTCAGAGATGTGCAAAATTATTGTTTAAAAAAAGTTTAAGCGAAAAAGTATAAGTCGGTAAGTTTATACTAGTAGTCGATGGAGGAAGGGAAAAACAGAGATAGAAATGACTTATTAGAGTATTGATGTGTCGATTAACTGGTGTGCAGTCCCCTTCAAAACGCATAAGCTGCAGGCAATAATTATGTCTTCCCTGGATTCTTGTTTTTATAAATTGAAATCAGCTTGAATAGGCTTGTTGTTAATTTAAACTTCCAAATTCATATGTAAGTGGACTTTTGAATTAATTTTGGTATATTGAAAATCTAAAAGAGATTTCGAAGTGTATATTATCCATTCCTTAAAAATGTGTTTCAGCAAGCATTCGAACAAACGAACCGCTACAAGTTGCTGCCATACGTCACCTTCGTTACTCGAATAAAGTTTTGCCCGTGTCTCTGTACGTTCCGCGCCGCGCTACCGCGCTGTAAATGGGAGTTGTCTCATCGAGAGTCCCGCGGAGCACAATCGACGAAATTCTCACGCGCTCGGTTCTTCCATCGTGTGGCAACGGAGCGCCACGGCGAGCATAATCGAGCACCCAAGAACAGGCTAACACGCCCCTGGTGCCACGCGGTAACCTTTTTTCTGACATTTCTACCTCGCGGCTCGGTTAGCCCGAAAGGTTAAGCCTCTGCGCGGGGCTCGAATGCCCCGAACGAGGCGCGGAGCACAGAGAACGGCGCCACTGATGGGCAAAATTCTTATCCAAATGAAATTTTCAAACAGGCAAGGAAGACAAACGATGGACACCTTTTCATCCAGTAAATGAGAATTAAAATTAGAATTTGAAGTGAAATTGTAGAATAAAATACTTCAGAATGATTACATAAAGATTCATGTATGAGTATATGCATTTTAATTCAGCTTAATATTCAGTATCATGTGAAGGTTCCTCGTTGGTGTGAATTTAAATACACTTGTACATTTATTTTTCAACCCTCAAGGGTAGAAACAGTTTCGTTTATTTCTGTGTCAAAGATTGAACTGTTCAGTCGGATAAATCTTTACATGGGTCTTTTAGAAGCCAAATCAATCAACTCCAGTAAACAAGCAGAGAAAATCCTAAGAATTAGTTCAATGTTTCTTTTCAAAATCCCACCGTTGTGAATTTTGCAAGAAGTGGAGTTTATCAACTTCTAAAAGACTCATAAAATTTTGCCTATCCGTGCCCGTGAGTGAAACTTGCAGCAACGGTTCTGCTCTTCCTGTCGAAGGTCGAACCTGCCACGAACGTCCGCTCCTCGAACCGTGTCGCGAGGTCAAAACCTCGATCGCGGTCTGAACGATCCAGCAGTCGTACGACCGCTCGACCATCACAGAAGCCAGCTGGTCACCCAATCAGAGCGAGAACGGAACAAAAGAAAGGTGAAACGACTTATCGCCCCGTGAGATCGAGCCTACATCCTGTACCCACGCCAACGGACCAACCCGACGAATCCTCGGCCGCGACCGTGCAATTATTATTAATCCGTTGTTAATTTCCTTTTGCGCCGCCGTTGTCTCGCTGCACCTTTCGACAAGTCATCTTCGCTTCTTGCAACCGAGCAGGAGAACGTCTCGTGACCCAAAAAGCCACGGACCGATGGACAAAGAGGCGTTGGGTCACGGAGCGACTCCAGATAGTGCGAGTGGTCGCCGTGCAATCCGATTCAAAGGGGATGGACGCACGCATGGTCGTCCTTGTCCGAGTTCTAGCTTTTCAAGAATGTTAGATTAACGCCGAGCGAGAAAAATCGCAGCAAACATAACGAATATATCTATCACAGGATATATGAAATCACGCAAATAACGAAACAGGAATTTCGAGAACCGATGGTATCGTCTATCAAAAGTTCACTGATAAACTTCGAGGCGATCCACGTTATCGTAACGTTAATTTTCCCGTGCAGCAACAAAACTAATAAATTAACACGCGCGCTCGGACGTCCAAGCGATAATATAGTTTCTTCCGTATAAATCCCGATCGTGTGAGCCGCGGTTTCCATGTCATAATTCGGAAGTTTCTCGATCTTGATAAATACTCCTATCAAGGCAACGGTAACGGATCGCGAGGTAACGAATCGTTCCCGTGTTCGACGCGGGATGCGCATGGATTTAACTCGAACGTGGATCATAAACGTTACCCGTGCAGGTCGTACGCGTATCGCGGCGACGATGTCGTTTAAGACTCTCGCCGGTCGCGATTCAGGGAAAGTCACACGCTCGTAAATCAGCGGCGGTAATGGGCACCGTTAGATTTGCAATGATAATCCGATGGTAATGCATGCGATTCGGTCGAACGACCGAACGAGAAGATAATTAACGATCCACCGAGTGCACCGAGTTCGCCGAACTATCGGCATCGGTATTCTGATCCCCCCGAGGATTTACGAGTTTACGGATTTAAACGAGTGCAAAAAAATCCCGGCGAAACATCCCGAGGCTGGAAGTTCGATTTCGCAGCCCGAGTAATCTGTCTGTAATTCTTATTTAACGTTCGTTCCGACAGGTAACGATTCCTGTAGCCGGGAGAAATTGCGAATCGTGAATTCCCCCGGCCAAAGTGTACACAACGCTACCATTTTCCCGAGCATTACGTGGAATAATGGCGATGATCGACGTCGTAAATAGCTTCTGTGAGCGGTTATGGATCATTCGCTACGGATGATCTCATTACACCACTTATTTCGACTCGCAATCGATCGGGCCAGTGATTCTTAATCGATGGCGATAGACCAAGTGATTTGTTGAATTTTTTTTTTTTATGTCGTTCGGAAGTAGTATCCTAATTGTGTGATATTTAAAGCGTATTACAGGGTGATTCTTTGGAAACAAGTAACTTGCATTAGATTACTATTCAACGTAATAATGATTAACACATTGTTGACCGGCAATTTTACACAGACGCGACTTCATGTTTTTATTTTACGTTACATGTTATTATCCCCACAAAACAAGCACGAAAGCTCATTATTATATTCGCGATCGTAACCCGCATCAAATATTCTCTTCTAAGCTATGTCAGCAAAAATATAAAAATTTTGTAAACCGATTCAAGAACCACCGTTCCAGGGTGACGCAGTCAAGAGTCGCCCGAGGGTTTCGGCGACGTCACGTCAACTCCCCGAGTGATCTATCGATCTCCCCCGGCCGTTAATAAGCGTCCCGACGACAGCTCGGGGGACGGTGTACCCGCGGTTACCTCTAATTCAACCGATCGATCGCAGGATAAGAGCGGGACACCGCGCAGCGGGTATAATGGACGATCCTGGAACCGCGTCGCGGAGGCAGCGGTCATTCCCCGTTCAATTACAACGCAATTACAGGATCGTGTGCGTTCCGTGGCTCAAACGATCGCATACCACTGTTTCGACCCCTCGGAACCGCTAATCGACGACCGTTAAACGAACGACGCGATCCTTGCGATTGCGAAACGCGGCTCGAAAACGGCGTCTCGTAAAATCTGCCTAAAATCGCGGTGTCAGCTTCGACGCTTGTAAACGACGCTTAAAATTCTCTACCCGCGGTCTTGCTGTCGCAAACGTCGCGAAGGATGACGTTACATGGTCGTAGATTCACGAAGAAAGGTCAAATCGATTTAAAACTCAACGAACTTACCCCTGAAGCGCGTGTGGAGGAGCTGGTCGAGGCGGAGGCGGCAGCGATTTTCTTCCCGGAGTGTTCTGTCGCGGAGCTAGAGGGGGTGGCGGAGAGCTGGGCGAACCTGAGCCACCGTATCTGTCCGTGGGACACTGAGGCTGAGGCTTCTGCTTAGGCGCGTCGATGTACTTCGGCGGCAAGGCGTAATAGTTCCTCTGGACCGCGTCTCCGTGACGTTGGTGATGATTAGGCACGTACTTCGGTGGCTCGTGATACTTCTGTGGACTGGCCTCCGATGGGAACATCTTTGAGTTGGCTTCGTAGCCCGTCTTCACGGGGCTACCGATCGAGAAACCGTGGTTCCCGCCTTCCAGATACTTGGAGGCGCTTTTCGAATTATCTGGCACGGGTAAATAATTAGGTCTCGTCGACTGGGTCGACTGACCGTTCGAAGCGTTCTTGTCGACGCTCTTAGGCACTTGGGGTTGAGGTCTCTGGCCGGAGGACGACTCCAACCTCTGAGTGGAATCGTTCCTGAGCAGGCTAGAGACATCGAGTCTCGAACCGTCCACTCTCATGGACTCCTGTCGAATGATTCTTGGCTCCACTGGAACCTGGGGAGCTGGCCTTTGATTACCAGAATCGCTGTACCGCTGCGATATGAGATCAGGTAGCTGCGCTGGGGGTCTGCTGGGGAATGGTCGATCTTCGGATATTCGTCTCGCAGGAGTAACTCTGCCGTTCACCATTAGCTTCTGAGTAGACGGGTATCTCAAGCTGGACCGACCGGTGGCCACCATTCTGTGGGTGGCGAATCCGGCAGAGACACCGTTCTCTAGCACCATCTCAGAGTCGACGTGTTTCAGGGCTATGGCTGCTCTGACGAACTGGTGCTGTTCCTGGTCCTGGGAGACAGTTTTCGTGGGCGAATTCGGCGAGGACTTTCCAGATTTCTCGTTTTCCCTCTTCGAAGCGTGTTTCGATCTTCTCGTCGAGTGTCTCTCCAGTTTGTGTCTATCGCAGGATCTTTCGCGGATCTTGGGCTCCTCTGGCTGATGGTGGGTGTTGCTGGGCTTGCGTGGTGGCTCTGGGAAACAGTCGTCGCTGAGTTCGGGAGGTGGTGGAGGGAGAGGATCGTCACAGTCGTGGACCTCGTTCTCCGTCACCGTTGGAGGCGAAGGTGGAGGCAGATCTGGACTGGGAACGCGATCGTTGTAGACGTTCCTCAGGTGTGGCTTCTTGGGTGGCCTTTCGGGCACCCAATCGTCAATGGATATAGCTGGGCCGACTATAACCGGACCCAAGAGATCCGTGGAGAGGCTACCGCAACTGTTGCTGTGCTGATGCTTGGGACTCGGTAGATCCCCGTTGCTCTGATTCTGACTCCTGTTTCCGTTTTCTCTCCAAGTTCCGCTGGCATAATCGGACGCGGAGCTGGCTCGTCTGGACGAGGATGGTCTTGGCCGAGGCGGTGGCTGCGGCGGCGGACTCTGAGGCGCGGGCGCCGATCCTTGAGCTAGCTGTGGCTCCGATCGCCAAGAGGCTTGGTGGTGTCTCTCGTAGAAAGACAGCAGCGCTTTCTTCTGTATGGCTTTCAAGGTTGGGTCGGATACTCGATGGCGTTTCTCAGGATCCAAGTAAGTGTAACGCATCTGCTGCTTCTCCAATTCGTTTATGCGTTCCGCCACTGTCATCTGAGGCTGCTGGGGCAACGTTGAGTTCATTCTGAAAAGATATATAGATTCAGCGATGCGCGAAGTGATTATACAAACGAGACACTCGTTGAAAATAGATTGAACACGGTACCTGGAGGACTGCGTGGACTCTTGAGGCTGCGTAGTGCTAACAGGGTAGAGTTTGCGTTGAGTCCGTTCGCGATCCAAGTACAGCACGCTTTCCGAATGGTGTCTCTGCGGCGTCTGAACTCTGGCACTATGAGCGATCAGTTGTTTGCTACACGGAAGTCCGTTCGCTTGGCTAACGTCCGACATCGATCCGTGAATAGGATTCCAGGTTTCCGGACTCTGGGGACTGGACGGACCCACCTGCTGACGAATGGGACTCTGGGGCATGGGCTGAGCCAACGATCCGTATTTGTCAGCTTCGATTCGGGTCGAATTGTCCCACTGACTGCTCGTTTGCGACTTGTCCGCGAGGGATTCCTCGTCGATGTTCGACTCTTGCCACTTGCTCTCCCGAACGGTCGACACGTCAGCCACGTTGGTGGACGTGGCGCAATGATTGATCACAGCTGGCAGACTAGATCTACCCTGGTTCTGTTTGTTACGATCGTTCATCGACACCTGCCATTTGTCCGGCCACTTCTCGCTGTGTCTGCCCTTCGTCGTCGGTGACAAGCCAGTGCTGCTCACGTCGCTCATGGAGCCCTGCCACTTGTCGTGGCAGCCATTGCTGGACTTCTGGGTCAAAATTCCGCCGTTCACGCTGCTAACGTCCGACATCGATCCGTGATGCCACCGATCCGACGCACCCTGTCGCGCTGCCAGGCCGCTGGACACGCTCACGTCCGACATCGAGCCGTGCCATTTCAAGGTCTCGCTGCTGGAGGCGCTTCCGCTCGACGTGGTCACCACGCTGTCTCTTCCCTCCCTGGACGTGTCCTCCCAAGTCGAGGCTGGCCGCTGCGCCACTGCCTCGCTGTCTCTTCTCAATCTGGAAACGTAATGACGTACATGACTTGGATCCGTATAGTTGAATAGGAAATTGGATTCTCCAAGTGATGGTTACCTGTCGAGGAACGGGGTGTTCGTGGTGGAGTCCACGCTGGAGACGTAACTGTGGTAGCCTTCGGATTGTGCGTAGCTGGCCTGCTGGGAATGCTGCACCCTCGTGTACTCCTCGAGACCTGCTTGCGTCAGGGTTGCCTCACGGTATATGTCCACCTAGACGAAGGGGAATTGTTTTATTTGAGTGTCCAATGGGTTGAAGAGATCACTGAAGGAATGGGTATTTAAATTTCTGGGGAGGTCGATAGAAACTACGAGATTGCTAGGCTGAAATTTTTGTTGGTAAACTTATGGTGTATAATAACTCTAAAGACTTACTCTAAGCTACTTACTAACTACGTACTACGTACTAACTCTAGCTACTTACTGAGTCTGAGGGTTAGTCAATTTATGGGGATATAATTATCCAAGAAATATTCGCATAGTGGGCGATTAAGGAGTTAATTTTGAGAGACTTTAATGCGTGGTTGTGGATGCATAGTCAGGTTGAAACCGTTGAGGTATTGATGCAGATTGAATATTGAGACGTCACCTGGGACACTTGAGGGTCTTGGTAGCTCCTAACGTAGGCCTCCAGATCGGCATGGCTGAGAGTCTGACTGGTCTGCTGCTCGCGCTCAGGAGGCGACGGTACAACGTACTCGGCATCCCCAAGAGCTTTACCCTCGCGATCCACGCGAGGCCACAATCTCGGTTCCTCTTCCACGTTGTTCCTGTTGCGTGACTCGAAAGTCTCCGCCGGGATCTTCTCGCAGCGCTCCATCACAGTCTTTAACTGCAACGCGAAAATCGTTGTTCTTTCTAAGAGCCATTTGAAGTAACTGTTCCTCGGTATCTAATCCTCGTGCACGCCGACTGCGTAATTCGTTACGTAATCGCGCGTGCGCGATTTACCTTAGCTACGAGCGTAATTCAGCGTAAATCGTATTCGGTTTTTGCCATTCGGACCTCTCTTCTCATCAGGTATCAACATCGTGCGTTTAAAATAAACCACGAGCCGACAAGCTAATTACGCCGACCAGCAAAAAGCATCGAGAGCTAATAAGGAAGTTCTGAATTGAGCAAAAAGGAAAGCTGAATTTATTTACTATGAGCCGACGTCGCTGGCGGTGTTCTTCCAGCGAAGCCAGCAAGCGTTCCGTGACAAATCGTTGTTAACAATCAAGAAGGATTGGTATTTAGATGATCATAAACATGCGTTGTTCGGTACGCTTCCCCTCTGAGTCAGGGCGACGTTTTCGTGAGCAAAAACCATATTGGGTTTCACGGAATATTTTTTGAAAATTGAAAATTGTATAGATAACTGAAATAGAACAGTAGATATATTGAGATGATGCACAATATCAACAAGTTTAATTGGGGATTTTCATGGAAATTCAAATTTTTCAATTTTTTTCAAATATAGAATATAGCTTCAATTCCCAAGTGACTTTATAATCACGTCCACTTTTATTTGTACTCCGACCTCAAAGGCGAAGTATTCCTTTTGAATTCCAAATGAGAAAAGAATATAAGCGTTTCGCAAATATATGGAAACGTATAGTGTTCCACGACTAAGGCAGTTTGGGAAACGCCGTTCCAGCGGCTTAAAGGAATGGAATTCCAGTTACACGGAATTAAAAGGCTGGGGCACGGCGTAACACCTCGCGTCTCGAAACTGCCGGCCTACTTCGGAGGAAGTCGCCGTAGCGGACGACGATTATGTCACTGGAGAGAAAGGAGGGTGCGGGTGTGGGAGATTAATTACGTGTGTCGTTTTAGGGCGCAGCACGATTTACCAAGGTTCTGACCTACGCCGGTTCCCGACGCTCGACGCGACACGTTCGGCCAATTAAACTTTCCTCCGGCTATTCCGCTCGCGTGGACGTCGCCGTCGTGAAACTTCGCAACGAAAACGTCGCGATAAGCCTGGTTCGGCTCGCTCGTGACTCGTTAACACCGTCGAAAGTGGCTTCGCCTCTTTGCAAATGAGTTTTCAATTTCGTAACCGTCTGCGACACAGGGGAATACTTGCCAAGCCGACACGTCCGCCCGACGGAGGAATCGCGCCACGGAAAGGTAATTGGTATCGTGACGCATCGCACTTCGTTCTACGATCGCGAGAACACTGCCTGAAGGATCGTTTTACTCCAAATAGATCACTTTCCGCACTGGGTACTAGGATTTTCATGAAATCGAAGTATGACGCGTTGGATGTAAAGTTAGGGGAGGTTTACGGGTCAGACTCTGTGAAATCGATGGATTACTTGTATCGGAGGTCAAGGGTTTTGGTAAAATTGAAGTATGTTGTAGTGTACGCAAAATTACAGGGAGTTTAAGTCACCAGTTTGCTGGTTTCGAATCTCTTTAAGAAATACAGGACGTCCGATGCAAGACGATATATACCTTTTTGTTGTACAATTGTTAACGTCCTGTATTTGGTAAAAAAAATTTGAAACCATCAACATGATGACTTAAACTCCCCCCAAATTAAAGTTTTCCACAACATATTCCAATGTCATAAAAATCCCTGGACGTTCGCCTTAAGAAGTAATCGAAAGTGACCCTGAGACAACCTGAGCGTCAGCTGAAAAACTTCGCTTCGAAGGAATCGGGCAACAATTCTCATCAAATTTCTACCTTTACGCGGCTAAACGAGCATGGAGCTGACAAAGCCCCTGGGGGATCCGAGGATACATCACCTGCTGTGTGAACGTGGGATTGGGCCTCTTCGTGTGCGGTCTGGTGTACTGGGCAGGCTTCTCCTTCGGGTAATTGGTGTGATCGGTCCAGGACTTGGAACGATGGGATCCGCTGTGACCCGAGCTGTGAACGTCCTCGTCGGGGTGTCTCTCCGGCGCACTCGGCCACGAAGGATACTTCTCGTGTCCTGGCCCATAGCAGACCCCTTTGAGGCTGGACGCGTCTCTGACCGGCGGCGTTGGCGGCGGCGACGCCTCGTCTCTTTCATTGAGAGGGAGCGTGTAGCTGTCGAATCCGAGGCTCTCGCTGTACCTGTCCGGACAAACAAGGAAACGCGTCCTTTAGCAGCGCTGGGACCCCTTTACGCTTCCATCGGAATGTTAAACTAAGAAGGTGGGGCATTTTTTCGTTCGAACGAAGAGCAAGAGTTTTTATAGAGAATTCATTTCAGGTAAACGGGTAAATCGACAGCTGGGAGGTTTTTACAGGTTTCTATGAAGCAAAAAATATTTTTAAAGTGTCTCTATGACGAAATTAGGTATCTTTACTTCAGGTGTACGTAGCATGAAACATCAAAGAGTCCTCTCTGGCATATCCTAAACTTTCTCTTTCGTTATTTTGCAGTGATAGATATATTTATACATTGTATGTATATTCCCGGTACATTTATTTTTGTAGTAAAATAAAAGATTGTATTATAGTGAAAATTCCAACATATACCAAAAGCGAATTTCCCTCTCAAAAACCGCGACACCCATAAATCCAACGAGTGCAAAGGAAGAAAGTAACGCGATCGAACCTTCATTGAAGATTGCGCAAAGAATTCGAGGCTCTCGGTGAACCGAGACCAGACAAACAAGGAAACGCATTCTTCGACGTCGCATGGCCCGCCGTCTTTCCGCTCCATTCGATCGTTTATGGCAACGTTCGATCGTCTCCACGCGTGGGAGCAATTATACCGCGAGAACGCGAGCGAACCGGTGGTTATTAGCGCTCGTCTCGCGATGAATCACTCGCGAGACGTTCGCAATCCCAGTAGCCGCGCAGGCGACGGCACTCTACCCGGCTCGATGTCATTGAACCACTTTATTACCAGGATGCGTGGCTGCAGCATAATTTATGGAATAGTCAACAAGTTCAACGTAACTGGAAACGCGTATAATCAGCCTATAATTGCAACCGTCGTTCCTGGACCCCGTCTAACGCAACGACGAGCCGACGCCGTGGAACGTTACGTTCGACCTATCGTGAAATCTAAGTGGGCCAGGACTAATACAGAAACGTCTAATTGGTTGCCAAACGGTATCTCTTATCGTTGAAGCAAAAACCTGCCGCATGGATGGCGTTGTGCGAACAACCATGGAAACTTGTTCTTCATTAATGGAACAATTCATTGAGGGTCGATGCTGACCCTCGGAGAGGACGGAACACGCGATGCAGACTGCTGGACGCGCGGTAAAAACACCGAGGGTCATTTGCATTCCATTTAGATAAATACGTAGACGTCTACAGCGAATGCAATGGTTAGAAGTGCGGTTAATCGAGTGAATAGGCTTCAAACAAAAGTTAAATATTGAGTTCTAAGCTTGGGTTAGAATAAGAACCTCGTCTTAGGAGGACCTTGCATAAAAACTGAGCCAAAGGTGCCAAAATCGAGAACTCTCCACGGATCTGATCGATGTTCGATACCGAGTATGATTGCTTTGAATGGGAGTATAAAAAAGGCCATTCGTATCCGGCCTCAGATTGTTTCCTCCAGGATACTGCGTCATGACAACGCTCTCAGTTACATGGCACTCTCAATAAGCTTCTTGTCCCACAGCGTCCTCGCAAAAATCAAAACCCATCTAAAGGATCTCCATCTGGGACCTACGGACATCGTCCAAGAAGTTGTATTGGAAGCAGTTTCAGTCGAAGACCTTCCAGTCTCGTCGAAGACTACCAGGAGTAAGAACAATTCTTCCCAAGAGACCTATCCTGAAGAGGACACCGTTGATTGGCAACGCAGCCGCAAATAAATATTTTTAGAGAACCAGTTCCATTACCCTTCAGACACACCTCGTGCATCACTCACGGGAAGCTTCGGTATCGGCTCAGGGGCAAGAAGGTAACGCGACTAAAGGTTGATTGGTGATTGCGTACCCGCTGTCGTTCTTATAGCCAGCAGTATTCTTCTTGTGACTTTCGTTGTAACCGGCAACCGTGGCTTTCTTAGCTGCGCTGCCAGTCTCGTGCTCGTTCTCCGCGGACCTCCTGCCGTCGTTTCTGCGGCGATAGTACTCGTTAGAAACCGCCGTCCGAGAGGGGCTCTGCTTAAGGCCATAGCCTTCCTGAGGATAGGACGAGGTGCTCTTGAAATTGGTAGACTCGCTCCCGTGGCCGTGGCTGGCGTACTTGTAAGGGCCCTGAGGACAGGAAGGTGGGCCCGGGGCCTCATCCTGGACTCGATATCCTGGCGGCGACGGTTGCAGTTCCGTCATCGTGTAACCAACGTCCCCGCCATCCGGGATACACCTGCGAAATCGAGCAAGAACAAGTCGGTTAGCTTCGACGCTTCACTCGGGTGCCGATGAGTCAGCGGTATCGGGGGAGCAAAAGAATCGGTAGATCTCGCCGCTGAAAACCGGATCTTTAGTATTCTGGATGACTCGGTAGTCGGTTCGGTGAGTTACCCGGGTCGACGACACATTCATCCTCCCCAGGACCTAATAAGTGCATTAAAACGGTCGACGGTAATCGCTACTCGTATCTAGGGAGCAATTTATAGTGGCAATTTCATCTCTCGATCTTCTAAGACTTCGACAAGTTTCTTTTTGTTTATGTCCTCTGGGGTCGCTTGGGTAGTCAAGTTTTCTCTCATCATTGCGATGTCCCTCTCTCGTCGGGTATCTTTTGCTGATGTCATCTCGCGATGAAAATGCGTATCATCCACTTTTAGAGGACGTGACTTTCGGTAAATGTTGGGTATGATTTTATTGGAATAATTAAAGCGCTGATCGTTGTATAGTCGAGAGATTAGAAGTCTGTGGTTGCAGAGACTCGGTGGCGATGTTTGGTTGAATAGCTATTCAAATACGCTTTTGTGGTTGGTCAAGCGAGGGGGCAGAATTTGATTGCGTAATTCAGGTTGAAGGCATTCCTTCGTTTGCCTTTTGTGAATCTGTGATGGGAGTTCTTTTATTTGTAGAACAAATCTGAGGCGGTTATAGAATATTTAATGTATGTGTTCTCTTGAGAAATGTAGGATATTCTACAATAAAAAGGTTAATATGGTAATATATGAAGACGATTGTAGATAGATTGGTAAAAGTAACAAAAGAAAAGACGCAGGAAATATATATAAACTATTATAAAAAATATATACAAAATTAACGAAGAAGATTCATTTTCAAACATTTAACATGTGGAATATCGCTTATCCAAGATTCGCTAACGATACTTTCGATGAGTTCAACAATCGTTACGTGATCCCGTGTCCGCGAATAATGGAGAAATCGTGCTCGTTTTTCCAGGCGCGAAGATAAATCGATCGGCTGGTTTTAATTGATCGAGCCAAAGGTTAATTAAGATACCGATCCAGCGGCGGTACGATCACGTGTATTGCGGAACGGCTCTGCGTAGATTAAAATCATTAATCGAGAATGTTTTACGTAGCGATGCGAGAGCGGTACGCGATTAGTCCCGCCCGTGATTTTATGAATAACGCTGATCGATGACGAGGCGCGCGAATTTACGGCCCACTGTTGCTTTCACTCGCAGCACGTGTCGGAAATCGTACGCATCCCTTTTCATTCATTTCTAGTTACCAAAGATGCGTTTAATACATTCAGCTCGAATTTTGTTAAATTTTCATGTGTGTACTTTATCGAAATGAATAGCCAATGTTGTCACTTATCAGAAGATTTAGACGTAATTTATATATTCACAAGGAGGGCATAAGTGTTTATACATTTTTCGCAAGTCGTTATTCCATCAATTTTTAAATTTTTCACAGAAAATTTCCACGAATCTATAAATTCATCGATTTCATTAGAAAGTTTAAGCTGCAGCAAAGATCGAGATCGACCAAAACTTTAAAACCAACGAAGTCAAATCGAGACTTTCAAGACGTTCCGCTATCAAATGCTTGAAGCTTTCCGGAACTTTCCCGTCTCGAATGTCTCCGGTCCCCTTCAAAGCACAGGTTCAACCCCGCATTTGGCGAACGTTCCTCGATTCGATACGATCGCGTGCGCGCACACGCCTTACGACCGACGTTATACTAATCAATTTGTTCGCAGGGAGAAGTACATTGTCTGGGAGTAGGCGCTAGCTCGTAGAATCGAACGCTAGGCGTGTCTGCAATGCGATAAAATCCGAGGAAACCTCTCACCAATGCTTGTTTAACCTCTTGGCCGCGTTCTGGGCGACGAAGGTGTAATGACTCGCGCTAATAGTGACGCTTCTTATCGTCGAGATCGCTGCCGCTGATAATCTCGTTCCGAAATTATGTGCGACGTAATGACTTGCGAGGTAGGAGAGGGTGTGCCTCGTTGACACCTGGCTAACGAGGATCGATGTCTTGTGGGTAGGGCTCAAACTGATCGACTGCGCCTCAGTTTAAAGCCACGTTCCCACGTGTACGACGAGAATTAACCACTGCTTAAATTAATTACTTTGGTACCCTGCGATACCTTAAATTAATTACGTCTTCGGTATATGGAATTTAAAGCTGGTCGAGTCTATATTTAATTGAGAAAGGAAGCCTCGAAACCTGCTTCTCCAAGAATGAATTCATAGATAGTGCTGTTGAATAAAGTCATAAGTCTGTCGTAATTAAGAAATTTGTAAATATTGCACATTTTCAGGAGTGCCAAGTATGTAAAAAATTGATAAAATATTGTCTTTAAAATTACAACATCTTGGGATTTCTTTGCGAGTTCCTGTAGTATAGCGCTACACCATGCATCGAAATCACTCAAGCACCATCTACAAGAGCTCTACCGAATTACGCTAAATTACTTTAAATCTAAATAGGACCACAAATTCCAATCAAAATACTAAATAAACATACAACGCAACAGCATCTATCTATAAATTAAAATCTACTGCGTACCAAAAAGAAAGGTATCACTAAAAGAAAAAAGCGGAACAAATAACGATTGCTGCTTAAGCCAAAAATCACCTCCATCACGCGACCCGTGTTACACAAATTCGACTTACAACTCTCTTCGTGCCTCGGATAACAGATCGCCTCCATTTGTCGCGCGAGAAAAATTGCTACCCACGCGCTGGAACATTTTTGCCGAAACGAAACGGTAACGCGTCGTATTGACCGTGATCCGTCGTGCCGCGATGTAGGTCACCGGGAATGCTCTCAAACGTTCGCAGTTCGGCGAACAATCGACAATATATCATCGGTTATCACGATGCATCCTGCGATGCCAGAGATACGGATAGGCCTGTTCCAGATTCTTCCGCATTTATTCAGGCCCGTCGTGTCCGAGCACAATCGGCGTCGTTACGCCCAAGAACGACGATCAAGATCGATGACGGTTACAACACGGCGGAAGGCATCCCGGCTGCGATTCTTCCACGGCGCGTCCTCGTCAGGGGCATTTCTATGGACGTGTTCGTCCGTCGATTCCCGTGCCTCTGACCGAATGAAAACGCGAGAGAAAGATAAGGAATTCACGTGGCCGGGCTCGGGAGGACGCTCGTCGCCGTCTCGCGACTGGTAAAACCTACCTCGTGACGATGTATATTTATGTGTATGCGCATATATATGCAGTCCGTGCATCTGCAAGTTCAACGCGAGGAAGAAAAAGAACCTACGGAGTCACCTGGCCCCCGAGGCAGCTGTACTCGTAATTTTTATCCGCTGCGCTCGTTCCACGGCCGAGCCGGACGATCCTCGCGAGGACGCATGCGGGATACAGAGATTGGACCTGTCGCTTCGGAAATCGTTTCTAATAGGCTGATCTTTCGCGTGAAATTTTCTTTCGTCGTTACTAGGACTGGTCTAAAGGCTGGGAAATTTTAAAAAACGTGTCATTTGCTTTTTTTCATTTAGGTATTTTTCAATAGTAAGAGCATTACATTTTATTCACAACTTCATTGACATGAAATAGACAAGCCTTATTTTTAAAAATTGTACAAATCTTACGTTTCTCATCAAATTTCGTCGCAAGTCATTTATGAAGTATCAAAGAGACTCTAATTTTTTCACTGATATAATTTTTGTTACCTGGTATTACTTCTCGATCCCTGGAAATTCAAAATTCAAACAATTCGTCCCTTTTCAACCAAACTATGACGGTTGCATATCCAGTGGACGTTCCGTCATGTCAACGGTTGCAGAACGCAGCCAGGCGATTTTGTAATAGGCGAAAGCACGCTCTGGGACCGCACGGGCCCCCGAGCTGCCGCGGACGTAAAAACTGATAATGAGCAGCCGTTTCGCGAGTTATCTCGTCTATCCTGGTTAGGCTAATGAATAAGTGCACCACAAGGTTGATAAATACGTCTGGTAGACGCTGGCAAATCGCAATAAGGTAAAGATACTTAATAGCCGCTCGCGACGTTGGAACACATCGATGCTTCAGAACGGAGACACAACCCTCGAATTTGACAAAGCACTCCCGTCCACCGACGACCATAAACAGCTCAGGCAAGAGTGGTCGCTTTCACGACTAATAAATTGAATATAAAAGCACGCTATCAGGCCCGTATACACTAGAAACTCACGATCTTTAGCGTGCGTTAAATTGGATTCGTTATGGTGGGCGTGTCGGCGCCGTAGTTTTGCATAATAAGAACGAGCCTGAATGGACCCGCGGGACAGACTTACGATCCTTTAAAGATTGAAATACGCGGTGTTTAATAATACACGAGGAATTCCAGCGTTAGCTACGATCCACCGTTTCCTAAACGCTCGGGACCCGATGCGCGACGCTCCCCTCTGGCTCGTCGAATGATCTGTGGACTCGGTGGATCGCTTTACGTATTAATGGGGCCCGTGCACTCGCGGATCATGCTTCTCATGTAAATCGTACCGTGGAACGTCGGGACCGCAAGAGCCGAGTATGAGAAACGAGCCCAATTATCGTTGTTCCTTTGTAACCGAGTCGATTGCGCTGGCAACGAAATGCCTGGCCCCTCGCCTTGTGCTTCTTAGTAATAGTTTAATAATAGTTGAAAGTAATCGCACCCTACTCTCGTTCTTTCTGCGTGCACGCAACTCTCCGGCCGGAACGTGTAATTTACCCTGTCGGAATCGTCAAAACTCGCAACGAGAGCACGATTTCAAACGGAGGAAGTAGGGAGACAGGACAGTGGGAGTCGATGGGTTCCCAAAGCAGGTGAAAACAGTAGGCTTGGTAAATTTTAATGAATCGACTCGGTTGTCGAAAACACCTCAAGTGGTTTTAGAATTTTTCTTGATCGCGATATACCCTGTATGTATTTTTAATAGACAATGATAGGTGTTGTGAGCAATGAAAATAACAAGGATGGCGTATCTTTCTCGCGTGATT